GTGCGAGGGAAGCACCAGAAGAAAGAGGGTCTTTCTCGCCTATTATGCTGACCTTTTAACTATTTCTTGACACAATACTGCATGCGCGGGTGAAAAACACTGGGTGTGAGTCTTTATATATATATATAATTGTTCTTGTGCCTTTGTACGCGTACGCGCCCGCGCCCGCGCGGATCCTGCTTTGAGGACTCAGAGCCCCATGTCAACCATTTCTCCTCTGCCGCCAGTGGAGGAGGACAACGGTCAAGAATCTTATGGAGAGTGCAACATGATTTGCACTAATTACCTAGGCCCACCAGCGATTGCATGGCTTCTGCTCTTGGTCATCGGGCGTACTTCCTGGTTTGCAGGACTTACCTCCAGACATTGTACCACGGCCATCTCCGGACCTGTCGATTCTGATGTTTTCGCTGCAGTCCTCCACAGTTTAGTTTTGTAATGTTTGTAACTTTCAACTGCAGCTCTCCAAACCCAGATGGGCGGTGGAGAGCCTGGGGCTAGGGGCTTTATGGATGCAATATTGAAAGAACAGACCCTCTTGGCCTAGCTTTGCTGTGAGGGCATATGGTTAGTTGCTACAGCAAAGGCTAATGCACTCTGGGAGTGATCTTCTAAGAAGATGACTTGAGGGTGATATCCCGTTTTGTGCTTCTTTTTCCAAGTTGTTGGCGTGAAGCGCCGTTGCGGGAGTGGACTTCAGTCCACAAAACCGGGAGAATCCGAATCCAAAAGATGGCCAAGACAAAGAGCACCAAAGCCGAAAGCGTGTCGATAGCCGCGCACACACACCATGCAGGCCCGACCCACAGGTTCACGGTTCACCGGTTCACCCTTGTTTTTGGCAAATGGGTATATGCAGAGTGCCAATTGTGTGCCGTAATGGCACGCCTCATGCATCTTGACTGGCTTCTATTTCTGAGCGCAGGCAGTCCTGCAAGATCCCGTGGCTGTTGTGAATATGTTGTTGTGCAAACCGTGGAGGGGGCATAGCGATTTCTGGTAATCATAGTCCAGAACACTTCCTAGCGGCTTAGCGCTGCACTCATGACTATATAGTGCATTCTATTTAGGCAAGTGCTCCCATCCAGAAGGACTGGTTGCTGTGTGGTTTGTTAAGTTCGGACTTTCTGACTTGGTATGTATAATGCAATCCATGAACATCAGCCTTTGAAATCCTTTCTGTCAGAGGGACGGCCGCTATGGAGTCACAGTCAGACCTTAGCCCTGTCCAGTAGTTTTTCTCTTTTGGGATAGCTATATATACAACTACCTTTCTATGAACACGTTCAGAGATTTCCCACAAGCAGAGTCCAATCAACACATGCAAGGGTTTGGATGAGGAGCTTGGAAGGTCGCCCGGATAGCCAAATGATAGAGAGAGAGATTTAAACCCCATTTCTTGAGCCACAGTGTGTCACAGTGACCGCGCTGCCCCACTTCCTCGAAGTCTCAGAATTGAAGGAGCCATGGCTCAAAGGGTTGTACGGGCATGAGCCTTCTCGGGTGTCAGGCACACTTGGCCCATGCGGCTGCAACTAGCTTTCGTTTGTGCTCAGCCAGAAGAGGTAGGCACAAGGGATGCCAGAGAAGAAGAAGAAGCTTGATAGGGTCAGATCCGCTACCAAGACTTCTTGATCTTGCCAGATTTCCTACGGAAGCAGCTGTGAGAGATGCTTTAACAAATCACAATCCGTCCAAGAAGGTTGCACACGCCCAGATCATCCAGGCATTGGCGAGGATGAACCGCGCAGACATCATTTCCAAGGCGCTTGAGGTGTTGAACGGCAGTGACACGGACGTGCGGACATATACCATGGGAATCTCTGCCTGTGCGAGGTTCAAGTTGTGGCAGGAAGCCCTAGCCCTCTTGGAGTCGAAGCGAGACACCGCCCAAGCGCATGGCCTCGACACGGCCGCCTTCAACGCGACCCTCAGCGCGTGCAATGCTGCGGAACGCTGGCGCCACGCCTTGGAGCTGTTTGACAGTGGCATGGGACGACGGTGGACGGTGGATGTCATCAGTTTCAACACGATGATCAGCGCGTGTGGAAAGGGAAAGCAAGGGCTTCAGGCCTTGAGCCTCTTTGAGGCGATGCCGGACAGACAGGTTTCACCAGACGTCATCAGTTATAATGCAACCATGAGCGCCTGCAGCAAGAGTCAACTCTGGGAACATGCTTTGAGACTTTTTGAGTCCATAACTGATGCCAAGATCCAACCGAGCCTTGTGAGCGTCAATGCTGCGATAACTTCTTGTGCCCAAGGCGTGCAGTGGGAGAAAGCTGTGTATCTCTTGCACACGCATGACCATCGGATCCATCCTGACGTCATCAGCTGCAATGCGACCATCAGTTCATGTGAAAGGAGCTCCCAGTGGCAGCAAGCCTTGGGTGTCTTTCATACCATGCGCATTTCTCAAGTTTCACCCGATGTCGTCAGCTTCAATGCCACCATCAGTTCATGCGGCAAGAGTGGGTATTGGCAGCAAGCCCTGGCTCTCTTCGAAGCCATGCCACAATCGAAGGTCGATCCGGATGTCATCAGCTTTAACTCCATTATGTGCTACATTGATTGAACGCATCCTTCTCATGCTTTTTCCGTAGACCACGGGGAGGTTGAAAAACGAGAGGTTGAACAAAACTCTGTTTTTCAACCTTCAAGTGCCGTTCTGCGGCTTTGAAGACTTTCTCACCGCAGTTCGGCGAGAACAAGCAGAAGCCCCGCGGCTTTGGATAGATGAATGTAGGTGCACCCCTAGAAACCCGTGTTTGTGAATCACTCTGCGATGGATTTTGGCTCCATCCAGCTTTGTTGTGTGTTGTGTGCCATTGACTCCTCGCAGTAGCTCAAGAGCTTGCATAAGTTAGACGTGTGAACATACAGATGCAGAGACGCAGACACGCGGACCTAGACTACACGTCCGCGGGCAAGTCTTCCACCCTTCCTATAGGGCAACTCAGGGCGAACTTGTGGAAGGTGAGACGGGTATATATATATATAGGGCTTCTATGATGTTCAATTGAAGTCAAAACCTATTTTCCCTCGGCCGGTTGAGCAGAAGCAGGTTCACCTAGTGCAGATCGGCTTATCTTTCTGTTGTGTTTCTGTGGGTGACCTGGCCTGGCTTCTCGCTTTCAGCATCGCTGGTGGCATTTCGCACAGCCATGCAAGCCTCCAATGTGTGAGACTCTCACTGCCTCCTCACTGGGCTTTTCTGCAGTCCCTTGGACTGAAGTGATTCACTTTTGTTTCCATGACTGGAGCATAATTGATCCGGAGATAAAGGCAAAGCGGCTCCAAAGCTACTCGTTTTTGGCCAAGGATAATGTTTGGCCTTCCTCAGCTCCAGCTCTGGCACTTTGGGTATTTTGGTTGCATAAGCAGCACTTTGCGGACTTTGTGTTCCAGTTTTGGTCGTCTTTGCTTTCGCTGTTTTCGCCCTTGGTTCAGGCGGTTGCCCTTTTCCACATCATTTTTCTCGCTGCCGCTGTATGCCGGGATTTGCGGATGCGGCGGCAGGCACGTGCGAAAGGTGTTCCTTGCTCTGAGTCTCTTAGTGTTTTCTTCTCAGGGATGGTGGAAGGAAGAGTACTTCCTCACTCGTGATGCGGCCCATGCTCAGGCAAGAGCAGTTCAGTTGTTCAAACGAGCGTTTTTTTTTTTGCCTTTCTATTCTGCCACGCTCTTGAGATCTCTTGAGTGGAGCTCACAAAGTCTGAGTCAGAATTAGATTCATAATGCAAATGCATTGATTACTTGAGATCTAGGTCTTCAAGCTGAGCCTGGCCTCGAGACTTCGAGCGCTGGGCTGTGGTGCCTTGAGTGCCTTGAGTCGAAACGAAGCGATGAGCCGGTTGGCCAACTACCTGGGGATCTTCTGTGTAAGGACCTCATGATCGTCCGGGCGCTGATTTTTAAATAGCAAGGTCACGAGATCAAGAATGAATCGCAGGGGGGTCGCTGTGTTTGGTCTCATTCTGCTTGCGCTTTCGTCTGTGCTCTTCTTGTCCTAGCTCTAGTTGGCAAGGACCCATCCCCGCCCGGAACCCTGGTAGGACAGCGGCAGCCACGAAGTTGCACCTTACTGAGCTAGATGTGCAATTCATGCTTTTGCACATGTGCCTGGGCTGATGAGTTACATAGGCATGTTGACTATGGCCTTCAGGGCACGAGCTCGAGGAAACGCGTTGTGCATATGTATGTGGTAGGTGTACATTTATATCTATCTATTTTCACGCGCGCGCACACTTAGATATGGAGCTCGCAAGAGCAAGCGTCAGTTGTGAATGTCCGGTGCATTAGCTCTTGAAGTTACTGCAGCAGACCTTGAAAAACAACAAGGATAACAAGGTGAAGAGTCGGCCAAAACTGTGTTTTTTGAACACGCGCATTAGCACTTTACAGGAAAAATAAGAGTCACAGCTTAATAACGCCACAAAAAGAAGGTACACAGTCAGACGTCTTGACGGCATCCAAGTATTAAAATTGCATTAAAAGTAAAGATAAGCGTGCTGGTGCCCCCTTAGAGTGACAGGGGTTCACACACACACACATGCACGGAGTATATTTATACACACATCATTCATCATCACACGTATAGCAGGGTTCAAATCAATTCAAGCAGCCGGATCGGATGACAGATGGTTCTTTTTGATGGCATGCGTGATGTTTCCTGGACATTGTTGCTTCGAAACTCATATGAAACGCCACTGCTGGAGCTGCCAGGTATCAGGTGACTTTTGCGAATGAAGAATCTGCCTGGACACGAAAGCGGAATGCAGACTTTCTTGCCTTGCAACTAAAGGTCCAGCAGGCAGGATATTTTTGAAGAGATGGAAGGCGTGACTCCTCAACCTCCATGCCTGGCACAACCCCAAAGTGGCGGACAGGTTGAGTGTTAGTGTTAGTGCTCAGGCAGATAGATACTGTAGATAGATAGATCGATCGATAGAGATAGAGATAGAGATAGAGATAGATTGAGATTAAGATTGAGATTTGGAAGGGTTTGATCAATTGGTTTGGATGGTCTTCCTGTAAATGAACTGACGGTATGAGATTTGGATGAACTCAGCAGGCCATCACTGCCTCGTACTCTGAATTGGTTTCGCAGCAACTGGCCTGCAAGTTGAGGATTGCCCCTTTTTGGGACTGCTTGAGAGCCCGATCGCTGTGTGGCGGGACAATATGACCACGAATGTGTGCGACGATCTGAGGCCCAGCATTCGAAGTCGTTTCTGGATTTTCTTTCTGCAGTTCCAGCCGCACCGTGCTGTGCAGTGCCATGCTCAGATTCACACCCACACCCACACATTTTTTCTATACATATATAACATGGGTATTTGTATATATAATGTATATATATATATAGCGGCATAGCGTGTGTGTGGTTGAATCATGCACCAACTTCAAGCTCAGTCATGCATGTCGGCAGTCAGGTTTCGAACACAGTGCCACTTTTATGGGGGGCCCGAAGCTTTCACCATTGACATACATGTGTCAGTGAAGTAGCTGATGTGGTGTTTCAAGGAGCTATTCGCTGGTCACTCGATGCTTCATGCGTGCGTGCGTGGTGGTGGCCAACATCTTTGGCCGCGTGGCCCTTTCTGACGCACAGCTGCACTCTAATCCAGTAGAGCTGTCCTGTAAAGCGTCCCGAGAGTGCGAAAGCGGCGCCCACATGCCAGTGGATTGGCCTAAGTCCCCCTTGTCCAATACAGTATTCCTAATTCGTTTAAAGAGATTATATAACCCATCATAAGCCCAGTGGTGATATTCTCCAGGTTTTGTTCTTCCTCGTGGTCGGAGACACGCAACCTCGCAATGACGAGTCTTGCAAAGCTGCGGGATCGAGGCCAAGAGAGAGTCTCGTGAGAGGGCCAACTCAATAGCAGCACCAAACCATCAAGTGCCCATTCCTTTGAGTTTCATGTAAGATGTGCAGTTGCATGCCATGCAGAAATACTTTTGGTGCAAGGCAATACGTCGAAGGTGTCGTTGGCGGTCTTGGCCTTCAACTACTCTTTTCCTGCATCTCCAGGCCGTGCAGCTCTTGAGCTTCTTTGAGCCACTTATGGCTGCTGGCCACCAGCTGTGATTCTTTTTCTGAACCCGTCGGAAGGCTGCTGCAACTCCTTTGGACTGGGATACTGCTGTTGTTCCACAGCTTGGCACTTAGAGGTGCTTCCAGGTGTGTGGAAAAGCACAACGCATGCAACGACGTGCTAGACGCAATACACCGATGTGCCGACTAGGTCGGGAGTTCAAGCAGGATGTGCAGTGGGATGCGGAGTCGCGCCGTCAGCAGGTGACGAAGTGGTGGCTGCAAGATGTGGCCGGGGGACACAGGGGACGAGACGAGAGCCACACAACCACTTGGCTTTGACCTAGCAGCTAGCAGATATTGACCTTCCAAATTTTGTATGCCAGGGGTATGCCTTCATCCTTCCTCCATGTGCAGGCGTTTGCAGCACTTATCTTGCTGTACTCGTTTGGCTGCTGCATGCTTGGAACGGCCTACGTTGCAAGTGCATCAGATGAGGACGATGTTGGGATGGTTTTGCGGTTGTGAACTGGCACAGTATTCCAACGATTCTTCGATTGTAAGGTGGTCCTTCTAGACAACCCTCAATTCATAGTACATTACATATGAATGGTTCATGCTGACCGTCAGACGGGACAACTTATCTCGCATGCAGGACGGGCAGCGATGGCTTGCAAGCTTTGCTACGATGGCCGGGTGTGAAACGAACTTGTCATTGTGTCTCAAGCACAGGATTGGTAGCCGACACGTGAGCCAAGTGACACCCCTTGAAAGAGGGTGTGCAGTTCATTGGTGGGTAACAATCCGGATTTTGCCAATGTCAGCCCCTACATGCCACCCCAGTTCAGTAGGGGATGTAGGCCCCTGGTAAGAAGAGGAGGGGCCCCTGGACTGTTGAGATGACATTTTGCCCACGCTGGGAGTTTGACTTGTGCTCAGTTGCCATGAGAGGTTTTTCTTACAGTCCTTGTAGAGCCGTTGGCGAAGAGTCTCGTATCTGCCGGATTGGCTGGAAGGTCGATACAGGAGCGCTGACAATGATACCCCCCATATCGGTCCGAGAGAGAGGGGGTTGGTTTGATCGCGTGGATGGACATGTTGACTCGGTCGGTCGGATTTCGAGCACTTAAGTTGGCATTTTAGGACATTCACAGAGAGAGGGCCAAGTAGAGGACTGTTTTAGATGCATCACGTGCACATCAGCTTCTTTGCTAACTAGGTCTATATCAGTCTAGCTGCACAATCATCCCATGAGCATCATTGAAAGAATGCAAACGAAGCATTTAGCGGTGCCAGGAGACCGGTGGCATCAGCTTGCAAGACTGCCTTGGCATCCATGGACCCTCCGTCTCTGCCAGGGTGGAGCCTGAGCAGCAAGAAAATCATAGTGTCAACGTAAATGTGCCACTGCATTGCCATGCATGGCCCAACGAAGTTGTGTTGCAATCAAAGTGGGGATGATGCAACAGCCCGCGCTCTATCAAGTGCGAGCAATCCAGGACTTGGATCCTATCCGAGAGGTGGAGGAGGTCAGCTCGCGTTTGCAGCCTGTGAGTGGAAGCTGCAACGCGCATCACTTCAGACTGGACTGCAGTTGTGCATCAGCTAGACACTACACACTAGGCCAGTGACTACAGAATATCATTATATCATTGAATTGAGGCACTTTGTTTGCCAACTCAGCGACACAACCACATCAAAAAGACGGTCTAGATTCAATGTATATACTTAGATTGACACTCCCTCCAGGTGCCAGGTGCGCCAGACTGTCCTGTACCACTTCGCTCGCCCTCTGCTCCGGCGCTGAAGGGTAACACTGCTAAAGTCGCTCGGCAAGAATCAGGCCCAAGAGTTCAACACGATGTCTCAAAAAGTGCAGCACAAATGGCAAATGGCATAACATGGACACCAACGTGGAGTATTGCATCCGGACTCAGAGCATGGCAGTAGACAACCGACTCCGAGGAGCCAGACATATCGCCAGTTGGGAGTGCAGGCACGAAACTGACTTGTGAAATCTTGTGAGCATTGTGATGTATCTACTTTTGTCCGGGTTCGGGTGGGAAGAGTTACTGTGCGCGCTGTTCTCTTCGTCCTTACCTTAAGTCCTGCCCCACCCATTTGCTTGCATCACGTCACAATCACAAGGCCTCCACTTTCGCGAAAACCTTTAGCCTCCAGATATTTCTATTTCTGCGAGGTTTCTTTTCTGAAGGCAACCTTAGCATGGCAGTGTGAGATTTTTCACTGGAAGGCCTGAGTGGTGCAGGGCCTCCGACAATCCATGCCTGGCGCAGCAGCCCGAATGCGATGCCGACCTTCTTGAGAGGGGGCACTCGCAGGTGATGTACGGGTTTAAAATCAGAACGCTCCAGGCTCCAGCAGTCCAGAATTTGGAACCAATCGGCCATCGCCGTGCCAAGAGTGTTGTCATTTGGTGCAGTCAGGTCGGTCATTCTGGGAAAGCCCGTGGGCAGCGAGACACCTGGTTGGGCCCTTGACTTGGGGAGAGGGAAGTCGCGGACCCATGAAACTGAGAGCATCGAAGCATTTTTCGACTATATACACACTTTGGCGCATCGAACTGAGGAGACGCAAGTGCGAGCCACAAGACGACCTGGCCGTGGAGTCGGCATCCATGAGCATCCATGAGCTAGGTCATGCCAAGGCGCCATGCTGACGCTTGCACGGCTTGAGGCAAACCCTACATCGTTGCAGTGTCTTGGCCGCAGACGGACTGGAAGAGCAGGTGAGCAGACGGACTCTAGGCGTGATAGTGATTATGCATTCGGCCCATCATCAGGTTTGGAGGCAACTCTTTGACGCTGGCACGTAAATGGAGGAATTCTGATTGCGTATGCAAGGACCTCAAATGAGGCTTATCTTGTAGCAATTGACCCGTTGGCCTCCTTCGGCAGGCTGCACAAAGGCTTGCAGCGCAATTTTTTGATAAGGTATTTTGGACCAACAACTGCCTGCTATGAGTCACCACTGGCTGCGCATGTTGAATTGTAGCTTCTTGCTTTGCTGTGGCGGTCCAGAACTGGCTGCAATGCTGTGGACCTTACCAAGTAAGATCCAGTGACGTGACAGCCTTCTCTAAATTCAGCGGCGTCTCCGGCGACAGGTGCCGCGAGGCTGAACCGAAACCCATGCTGAGCAAAGGAAACAAATTGCACTCACGAGGGCAGTGGTTTTTGCACCGTTCATTCAGTGGGTTCGTGTTTGCTTGGAGGTCCGTGGCCTTTCTCCTTGGAGCTGCCTTGCAAGGAGAGCTCATCGAGGGATGGAACGGGATGGAAAGTTGACAGCAGTGAAGGAGGTTGAAGAGGTTGAAGAGGTTGAAGAGGCTATTTTTCATTGAATGAGCCCGATGAAACTAGAAATGCATTTATGAATGTCACCAGTCGGGCGAGTCGGACAATTTGGGAATAAACAGAGCGCAGAGGTTGCTCTTCTTTGCAGTGGCTCCAGCAGGCAGACGGTCAAAACCCCGAAGAAGTGCAGCTGCAGAACCTCCAGAGCTATCCTTTGACTGAAGAGCCACCCACCCCAAACATGCGACAGCTGCCCCCTGCAGAGTGTGAGACCTGCGTCGGAGCCATGAACAGCAACAAGATGCGACATCAATGGGCCGACCTTGATGATGATGATGAAAAACGGTCGAGGCAGGGCCTGAATGTATTCGTCACTGCACTTCAAGAGCTGGTAGCGTGCGCTGGGCTCGTGCTCCAGTGCTTAGAGTCCCGTCTAGAGTCTAGAGTTTGATGCTGTTTTACTGTATCATTCTTTGACATGAGATCAGGGATTGTCATTGTTATTGGTGCAGCGCGGTGTGTGGGAGGATCTTCAGTCCGGCTGCGTTTGACACAGTCGTTGCTTGATCATGTATCCGTTTTGCCGTGCCTTTTTGCAGGACTAGCAGTACTGCCACGGACCTCCCAACGGACACAGACGTTTGTGAGAGCTCGCGGCAGGAGCTGGTTTGAGAAGCCACCAAAGTTGCCCACCCACCGAACGCAGCCAAGAGTGCAACAGCTTCTTCCCCATTCAGTACAGTACAGGCTCTTTTTTTCATCCTGGCGCTTCTCGGCCGTGCAGGAGGAACCCCAGCCGAAATGTCCTGACTGCAGGCTCGGAGTATAGAGCTGGCCCATTTTAACACCATGATTTCTTTGTGTCGGCCACAGCTTAACTGCTTTTGAGCCCTCTGACAGCCTCTAGGCCATATGCCAGTATTTTCCTTGTGCTCGCTAGTTCGAAATCGGTGTTTGGGATTTGGCAACGCCAGCTACACGAGTCCATAGGCACGCTGGACGTAGGGGTACCAAGACGATTTGCGTCCAACGCGTGCCGGCATGTCAGGGAAAGCATGCAGTGGAAGCCCCTACGAGGGGATTGTAGCATCGCTCAAGCTGTTGGCGGTAGCTGCGTGACACCAGCAACTGCGCAATCGAAGGGATGGATGTCACCTGGTATGATCAGGCGAGATTTGTTGACCTGTGGCGGAACATGTCAGGATGACATCAAGGCAGTCCCGCAAAGTGTTGTGCGAGCCATCACTTATCACTTGTCACATCTTGTCACAATGACAATGACCACTAGGTTCATTGAAAGCATTTTCTCTAGTAGAGGTCCTCCGTGGACATTGTACTCTACGGCATTCAGTATATAATTAAGAACTAAGACTAAGGCGGTGACTAAGACGTAATGGTACCCCCAATGCTGCTGCGATTCTTACATGTTTCTTCCCACCAACGAAATGCCGTAACATCGCGTGGCAGCGTTTTTCAACATTTGGCACGCCAGTCCTGCAAAAGGTTTGTGGTCTATATCTAGATTGTGGATATCGGTGCATACTGCACTTTTCAAAGGGCTTGTGCGGCTTGTGGATCCATTGGTGGGAGCTGTATTTTGATAGCGATGCATCGATGCATGTAGCAGTTGGCCCTATGGACCGGAAAAGGCACTCACTTGGGGACGGGAGGACGGTCGTGATGGCGCTGATCACCAAGGTGTTCCGCGTGTCGGAAAATGTATTGCGTCCCTTGCCTGTCTAGCATGGTTAAGATGGATGAAGGCTTCTACGATGATGCCTCCTTGTCTGCACTTTGCCGGTGGTGGGGGGAATCGAGTGCGAGGGCTAGCAAGGTGCAGTTAAGTAAAATTGAATAACTAAGAACAACGTTTCTTTGAGAACCAGTATGAGCCACTTGTGAGCGAGGATTGGCACGTGGTGCCGACCAAGCAGAGGCACGAATACGACTGGGAGTTTTCCTCCAAATGACATTGCCGGCATATTGAACCGTATGCCGGTTCAGCTTGAAACCTCGCACTGAGTCGGGACAACAAACAATATTATTCTAAGGTAGACCGCTTACTAGCAGCTGCTAGCATGCTCCCTCATTGATCCTACTTGAAGTGTCTTTATTCAAGACGCTTCGCGTCGACAGCCGCCCACACCGCGCACGAACATCCGAAGTTAGTGAAATGGAGCTTCACGGGGTGATGCTGTAATAAAGGAGGTTTGTGATTCCTAAGTCAGAAGTGAAGGAGGGTCAGATGCGAAAAGAAAGAGGGAGTAAACGTGTTTCCCATGGGACCATGTCTGCTATCTAGGCGCCAGGTTGGCTGTCTTGCGGCTGCGTTGGAGCCATCTTGGGGCCAACTTCGTCTACCTTGGGGCCCTTAATGGTGATACAACTTCGGCATTGCCGAAAGCAACTCAAAAATACACCTCCAAAACGCTGTCCCCAGTGGCCCTGCAGCCGAGCAAGAATCAACGCAGCAACAACCCCAAAGCACAAACGCTCCCCCAAAACGCTCTCCTGAGTGGCCCTGCAAGCGCGACGTAACGAACAATCATCCAAAAATGCACCTCCAAAGCGCTCTCCCCAGTGGCCCTGCAGCTCAACCATAGCCACGCACGCGCGAAAGAAATGGCCCCCCCCCTAGCAGAGCTATATGCATAGGATGTTTTTTTGCTAAAGTGCAGAGCTCGACGGCTAGAGCCCCAATAGCACGCCTTGCACCGACAAGCGGTGTGGGCGGATTTCTTCTTGTTTCTGCTGAGGGGGCGTTTCATGTCGTGTACCTTTTGATACGCTGTGCCGCTATGCTGTTCGCCGGTAGGCGAGCACGTGGTGATCCTGCCAAGACGAAATGGGCAGAGCCAGCAGACAAATCGCAATTGGTTGATGCATTTTGCCAGCGGCGAGAGCTGGATCATTGGGTTAGTCACCTGGCTTGAAGTGGCTACACCTTTGGCTTCTTTGGCTACCATCAACCGCTAGCTGGAATGCATGGAAAGGCCTCCCACTAGAAAGGCTTCTGGGAGCTCGACAGTGAGGAATTGATCGAGTCTTGCACCCGCTGAGGAAAGGAGCTGCTTTCAATACCGTCGCAGGAGGCAAACGGTCATGCTGTGTTGGTGAATGTTTAAAATAGTCGACCGTGAGTTTTGGCCAGACATCAGCCTCCAACCACTTCTCACAAGTCGATGCTTGCGGTTCAATGCTTGTAGATACTTGGAAGGTTGGCACTGTTTTGGCGACCTTGTCGAATGCGATAGAGGCCGGGATTTTAGTTGCCAAAGGCCACAGGGAGGTCCAACGTCCCTGCGAAGACCTCATCTCCTATCTGTTGGCCAGTTCAGGCAGATCCATCGGTGAATCTGCGCGCGCTGATTGCAAACAGGCGTGCAGCGTGTGTGCCTTTGGCTGAATGATTTGGGTTCCTAATGACTGTGCACTCACATGGGCTCAGGGCGGCCTTTGTGCGTGATACGCTAAGTCCAAACGCACTGCTCAAGCCTGAGGCCTCAACTGTTCGACGCTTGGATGAGGGCCAGAGTCGAAGGCTGCAAGAGTGGATCGCCAACCTGAATCTTCCAGATGTGGACCGCAATGCCGCTGGTCTTGAACCAGTTTGATCATCATCCTTTATTCTTGTGGGCTGAGTCACAAGCTACGTTGGCACGTCCTGCTCATCGTATTCAGACACTTTGAGGGTTTTTGGCGTGTCCGTGTTGCGGCTTTACCATGAGCGAAGCTCAACACGAGATTGTCAAGAACGTACTGAGGAAATGTTTGCGGTGCTCAGTGCCGGGTTCTACAACTCAGAGATCGAGTTCCTCATGAACCAAACCAACTTTACCAAAAAGTGTCGTGAAGGTTCTGTAAACCGTGCTTTCTTCAGATGTCTGTTTGATGTTTGCTCCCCAACCATCTTTCCCCATTGGAGGTGGCTACACGGCGCCGATTGCAGTCGCATGACGCTTGCAGTGCAGATTTGGTAACGTATCAGCTGGCTAATTTGGGTGACAGACTATCTGCTGTACCACGAAGTCCGCCTCTGAGAAACAGACACCCGCACACCCGAGGTAGCATCATGACCAACAACAGGGTGAGTGGTTATCAAAGCAAGGCACCTTGGTGCATTCATGTCATCCTGGACTTCTTTGGCATGTATGGCTGTCAAAGAAAAGGTGCCGTGAATGTGGGTGAACATGATGACCTTGCTTCAGAGAGCCTGAAATGAAGCAAACGAATTCGAGGGACTTGAGAGGAGACCTGGAATACTCCACCAGCTGGTTTTGTCGGAGGATGCGATGGCAAACTCAAGGTATCAGTGCCTGGCTGATTTGGCATTTCAGGTCGCAGCCTTCTCGCGGTGGGCCCGGCTTGGCCGGAAAGCTGAAGACCAGTTACTCTACATTGCGCCGAAGACAGGCAAGGTCGATCGCTTTTATTTCTCATTTGGGGTCGTATGGAGATTTGCAAAACTTCTTTTCGCTTTTGGAGTTTCTGTTTGATCGTGTCTTGGCTTGGGTGTGAGTTCATCAGAGCTTGAATCGTCAAGGTGATGCCTTGATTACGAAGTGGAGGGCCGCCCGTCAGCAGGACATGCTGTGAACGTTTTACGACTCATGGTGACTCATGCCGACGCGACTGCTTAGCACTGCAGGACTTTGACCTGGAGCAAATCGAGAGAGAGATCAACAAGTTGTGCCACGAGGACGGTGCCAGTGTCCATCTTGCTTCTAAGCTGCCTGAAAACACAATCAAAGGGCCTTTGGTGGAAGGTTCTTCTCTCCTCTGATGGCACCTGATCTTCCGTTTGCTGGACAACTTATCTGACCCATATGAGTGAATACTTGATATAATTCTACCGAGGTAGGCTTGCGACTGAGCGTCCACATCAATCAACATCCATTCTCTCATGTGATGCAAGCCATGAGCAAAGAGCTTCAGGAGAGGAACTTCAAGCAGCA